ACGCGACTCGGGATGGACGAGCGGTGAACGCGGCGCTCGCTCGCTCGCTCGCTCCCTCACCTCCCGTCTCTCTCACCCACCTGCTCCTTCACCAATAGCCACGCGCGCGCTCGCACGCGTATACAGACGGCCGCGTGTGCACGGCTTCGCGGGCCCGAGCTATTGCGCATCGGCGGGTTGATACGCCCCGGAGCGAGGAGAGAGAGAGAGAGGCATGAATCGCAGCAACATTACCGACGATGTTGGGGGTAATACCGAAGATAAGACGATGAGCATCGTTTACTGTAGACTCTCGCGTGCGTGTGGGTGTACGTGTGTGTGGGTGTACGTATGGGTGGTGTGTATAGAATAATCGCTCGCACACACTCTCGCTCTCTCGCTCTCTCTCTCGCATCGCCCTTACCCCGCACTCTCCGGGAGCAGCCCCAGCGGCCGCATCGCAGCGGCGCCATCCCCGCTGCGCCTCTCGCCCTTCCGCGGGAGCACCCCGCGATCGCCACGGGGCCGAGGCGGAGGCCAGATGGGGGCCGAGGGCACCGCAGCCGCAGCCGCCTCAAATCCGGCCACGATTCGCGAGGATGGAGGAGAAAATGGGAAAAGGGCTGCGAGCCATATGCGCGGTTCCGAGGGAGGCACATTTGTGTTTAGCCCTCTCACTCTTAGCGTTCGCTGGTAATGCAGATGTATGTAAAGCGTGGAAATCGATAGCGCTGTCAATAGTATTGCTCGGGAAATATCGGATCTCATCGAGGCAGGCACTGCTTTATCTATAGGCGATCAATTTCCCTTCCTGTTGACACAGCCACTCCAGCCAAAACAACATGCGTTTCCCAGGTTGTTGTTGTTGGGTTTTTTTGTGCATTTTGTACACAAGATGCTAATCGGCGTCTCGCCGCGCGTTACGGGACAGGCACAGGAAATGGATGCGAGGAGAGACCGGGATACGTGCGATGATTGTGCACCCTCTTCTTTTTTTGTCGAGCACCGCTCGATTCCGGGAGATCAACATCGCAGACTCGCACACGAAGACAAAGAGTCCCCCGTGGAGACTCAACAGAGACTGGCTGTCGAGTGCAGTTCGCGAGGAGCGCCTGTGAAGGCCAACACGGCACACGAGAGAGATGGTAGCCAGCACCACGCCCGGCCGCCTTTGTATCCCGAGTGGCGATGCTTACACACCGCACCAGGTTACTTATTTGAGGCTGAGTCGACCTAGGGGAGGCCCAGGGCCGGTTGGGACAAGCGTGACTCGTGATGTTGGCTGCAAACGGCAATCGAACTCGGGTGGCCGGGTTCGATGCACGAACCGCTACACCACCCGCCCCACGACACACACTGACACACACTCACACGCTACTCAACCCGTCCTGATGTTTTCTTAGGGGAAGGAAATCGGCGCCTGGCACTGGCTACGAGGCGCTGTGAGGGCCGCTCGATGTCTCCGTGAAGCTGGCCGCGTAACGCAGGCGGCTCGCGGGCCTCGTGATGCGTCACGACGCGCGGCTCGGACAGAGTTCGCGAGTCGCGCCAAGCGACTCTGGGTGACTCTCCGTCAAGGGGAGCCGTTGGAAGAGGCGTGGTGCGTTCGCGTTCACGTCAAATTGCGTGACAGAGGACACACAGTGGGGCCCGCCGTGCTTGCGTGTGGCACGCGGGCCCTTCACCGCGTGGACAGAGAGAGAAAGAGACCGGGGTTGGGGGGGGTGAGTCCAATCTATCACAAAATGTGGTCGCTAGCAAGTGACCGCTCGCTCTCTTCGGAACGAGTCCGCCGCGTGAGACACGAGTGGTCCCGGTGATTGACTCAAGCGGCAGATCTTCGCTTCCGTGATTGCGGCTCTTTCCTGCATGGGCTGCTCACGAATGGCAACTTGCACCCGACAGTATCGTGTGTCCTGGTACCAATGAAGACACGTGCCACCGTTCTGTGTACCATTCCGCACACAAAGACAGACGGTTTGGGACACGTGCTGTTAGCGAGTGACACCTACGAAGGCTGGCACGGCACACTCGGGGGTGGGTTCAGCCAGTACGACGCCCGGCCGCCTTTGTCTCCCTAGCGGCAATGTTAACCGTACACCGCACCAGGTACTCATTGAGGCGGAGTAGACACACACACACATTCGTGGTCATTCTCCCGTCTTGTTTTCCCATGAAGCGGAACGCTCGACTACTAAGCATCACTTTGATAAGCGCGGCATCCCGGCCACCGCTTTTTTTAAAAAGAAAAACCCCTCCAAGTTTATTTTTCTTCCCTCCATTCTCCCTTTCCTATTGTCAGCCCCCCCCCCCCCAACCGCCACCATCCAACAAAATGTGTTAAGGTCTCTTGACAGGGAAAGGCCACTCGCCTCTCCTTTTCACACGGCGTGAAAGCGCTGCACCCTGGGCTGAAGTGGCCTCTCCACGCTCGCCCCCTCGAGCAGCGGTTCCGGGACCGTAGCGCAGTTGATCAAATAGGCTAATTGGAGATGATGTAAACAACACCCATCGCCCTGCTCGAGGCCGGTCGCATCCACGACGAAGAGCGCGAGATCGCTCCGTTCTAAGACGATCGCTCCAGCGTCTCGCAGCGCGATGATATCATAACACGCGCCGAGATCTTGCACCCCCCACCCCACACCGCTCCTCTCTCTCTCTCTCTCTGTGCGGACCACGGCGGCGCGAATTGTTTCGCAGGCGAGAGAGAGCGAGAGAGAGGCAGAACATCTATCGCTTTTGTTTGCGCGGTGCTCGTCTCTCCGTCCCTTCACGCGAAGATGGACATCGACCACCGAGCACGAGGCAACGCGCTGTTAGCGAGCGCCTATTAAGGCTCAATTGGTACACGGTTGGGGCTTGGGTGTGACCGTCATCGCCGCCACCACCACCACAACGCCCGGGCTGCCTTTGTCCCCAGACCCCCCGGTCACGCCACCACCCCCTAGTGCTGATGTTTTACAAACCGCAGCTGCTACCAATTTTCAAGGCTGAGTCGACCTGCTCAAGAGGACATCCGCGTGGCACAGATTGGGAGACCGCTTGCCACTCACTTCATCCATGGACGGAAATCCCACCCATGTCACTGGGAATCGCTCCGTCTCACACGCACGTACACAGATGGACGAATCTGCTGCTGCTGCTCCTGCTGCTGCTGTTGTTGTTGTAGGGAATTCGTGTGCGTGTCTGCATCTGTCTCGCACGCAGCCGCGTGCAGCAGGATGCGTGCACAAAGGGCTGCTTAGCCGCCGCTACAGGCCCCTTCTCGGCAGCCGTGGCCCTTATAACCGCTCCACTAGAGAAGGCATCGATTCTAAGTGGCTGACAAGCAACATCTGCTAAATACCAAAAATCAATATTAATAGAATATGTACTGGCTGGGGCTAAATGTGTGCCATCAAAGTTTATAATTAACCAAATTACAGCAATAGTCCTCAGCACGGACCTCTCTCTCAAACACACACACACACACGCGCACGCTCTCCCTGTGAATAAGCCCACGTATATGGATCATTGGTGACGACTCTTAAACACGGGGCGCAGAGGTTACGGAAGAGTCAGAGTTCGACACGGCAATAGCGTCGCACGCGTGTGCACGACAATGGGCTTTGGCTGCACACGGATGGACCCTGAACGCACGGGGAGAGCGACACGGACGACAGACGCAGTACGGACAGCGAAAGAGGGGGCAGTGCGTCAAGTAGGTAGTTTTACACGGGGTTAGACATTGAGCTTGAGATGCGACGGTGCAAGTGAAATGGGAGCTAAGTGTTCAATTCGGCTGGAGATGGTGACAAAAAAAATTATATAATTTTTTTTCTTTTGCTGTTTGAGTGAAAGAAAAAAAATGCGCTGAGCAGGACTAATCAAAGTGCGTTCCTAATCGTTGGTTGTTGTGTGTTGACCTTTCAAAGCAGAGGTTTCTATTAGGGGGAAAAGGCACTTGATTGTGAGAGAGACAGGAGGATGTCAAGACAACACTGCCATGTCACAGGCACCACACTTGGGCATTGTGTGTACAAAGCCTTCTTCATATTTATTATAATGTTTTTCTATGTTAGTTGCTTTTATTATTACAAAGTATTATTTTACACAACGCGGAACGCTCGAGCAAAATGCGTTCACGATCACAAACAAATAAACGACACCAACAAAAACCCTCAGCAAAAAAATCACGAAAAATCAAAACGCCACCCAAAAACATATCAAAAATCTCAGTTTTTGGCCTCACGTGCCCCCCACCCTCCCATCCACCCCCGCCCCCCCTTTCAGAGATATATAATAAACATCTCCCCCCCCCCACCACGAGCACCACCACCAACCACCCCCCCCCCTTGTCCTTCTATAGAGCAGCAGCACCCGGAAGTCTCCATCACAATCCGTGTGTGCACGCTGACGTCAGGCCGTGCGAGGCGGTGCGCAGTGCGCGACCACGCAGCTCACAATCTGCCGCGACTGCTTCTCGCCCACGGCGGCTGCGCTGCTGCCGCCGCCGCCGCCGTCGTCGCCGCCGCCGCCGCTGCTGCTGCTGCCGCTGAGCGGGCATGGCTCACACGGCCACATCGTCATCGTCGTCGTCGTCATCATCGTGCTGCCCCTCCTCCTCCTCCCGCCGCTGCCGCCTCTTCTTCTTCTCCGGCTCCTGCTGCCCCCGCTCCGCCTCGCTGCTCCACTGCTGCTACCAGCAGGAGCGGCGCTACTGACGGGCGGACGCGTTCCCCGTGTGTCACAGCGACGACATTAGAACAGCGGCGGCGGCGGCAGCAACCGAAGAAGCGGCAGCAGTAGCAGCAGCAGCAGGAGCAGCAGCAGCAGCAGGAGGAGTAAAACGCGCGACGACTGCCGTGACCGACCGACCGAGCTGCATCCGATACAAATAAAAAATAACAAAAAACGCGGCGGCGACGGACGCGCGCACGCACGGACGCACGCGAGGTGGGGCGGGTTTGTCTTGTGCGGTGCGGGGGGGGGGTGGTGGTGGGGGGGGGGGCAGAGGGTGGGGGGAGTGGTGGTGGTGGGGAGGAAGAGGGAGAGAGGGAGACAGACAGACCGAGACAGCAGCAAGAGCCACGGGGAAACAAGAGAAGAAGAAGAAGAACAAGACGAGGAAATTACAGCAACAGCAACAACAACAAGAAGAATACAAAGTGAATAGTGCCCGGCGAGACGAGATAGATGAGTAATCAGGCCGCTCTTAGGCGGAATGAATCCAGAGCTGACGATGGAAAATATGGGAGATCTGCACGGCGCGAGTCATGAACAAGTACAGCAGCAGCAGAACGACCTCATGAGCACCCACAGCCCACACCTTCGCCACCCGCACTACGAGATCCAGACGCACTCACGGCCACCGATGGTGTCCAACATGACCTCCATTCTGGACGGCGGCGACTACCGAGCGGACCACTCGCTGGCCGGCTCCCTGCACCCGGCCATCACCATGACCTGCGACTCGCCGACAGGCATGAGCATGAGCAGCACCTACACGACGCTCACGCCGCTGCAGCCGCTGCCTCCCATCTCGACCGTGTCGGATAAATTCCACCATCACCACCACCATCACCACCACCACCAGCGCCTCGCGGGCAACGTGAGCGGCAGCTTCACGCTCATGCGGGACGAGCGGGCGCTGTCCACGGTCAACAGCCTCTACAGCCCCTACCACAAGGAGATGTCGGGCATGGGCCAGGGGCTCTCCTCCCTCTCGTGCTCCACGCTCACCAACGGCCTGAGCGCGATCCACAACTCGCAGCAGGGCCTCGCCACCTACGGACACCACCACCACCATCACCACGGGCCCATGGGCAACGACAAAATGCTCGCGGCGGCCGCGGCGGCCGCGGCGCACAACGGCTTCGACGCGCACTCGGCGATGTTGGCACGCGGCGGCGGCGGCGAGCAGCACTTGGGCCGCGGTCTCACGCCCCCGTCGGCCGCGGGGATGATGCCCTCCCTCAACGGCATGCACCCGCAAGCTCACCACCCGCACCACCCGCACCACCCGCCCCACCACGGCCAGCAGCAGCCGCACGGAGGGGGCGCGATGCTCCACGCCGGAGGGGGGTGCCGCGAGCGGGGGGTGGCCGCCGGTCTCGTGGCGCAGTCGGCGGGGGGCCCGCACGGCGCGGGGCCCCCCGGGGCCGCGCAGGCCGAGGAGATCAACACGAGGGAGGTGGCGCAGCGGATCAGCACGGAGCTGAAGCGGTACAGCATTCCGCAGGCTATCTTTGCGCAGCGCGTACTGTGCCGCTCACAAGGCACGCTGTCCGACTTGCTGCGCAACCCCAAGCCGTGGAGTAAGCTCAAGTCGGGCCGTGAGACCTTCCGACGCATGTGGAAGTGGCTCCAGGAGCCCGAGTTCCAACGCATGTCGGCTCTGCGGCTGGCCGGTAAGGTCCCCTGCAAGCCAGCACTGTCTGCCGCCTACAATGCGACATCTTCGGCACTTAGTAAGCACCGTTTGCTTATTACACGCGCACAGCAAGGGCGGGCGTGCGGTTCGGGTGCGTGTCGTCTTTGTCTGTGCATCGCTCTGTCTCTCTGTCTGTCTATCGGTCTGTCTGTCTATCGGTCTGTGTGTGTATCGGTCTGCCTGTCTGTCGGGGGTCTGTATGTGCATCTGTCTGTCTGTGTATCGCGTTGTCTGTATGTATATCGGTCTGTCTGTCTATCGGTCTGTCTGTCTGTGTATCTGTGAATCTGTCTGTCTATCGGTCTGTCTGTCTATCGGTCTGTCTATCGGTCTGTTTGTATGTCTATCGGTCTGTGTGTGTATCGGTCTGCCTGCCTGCTTGTGTGTTGTGTGTGTGTGTGTGTTGCCTCTGCCCGTGTGTGTCTGCGTCTGAGTCTGCGTGGCTGTGTGCGAGTGCGCGCGTATCGTGCGTGGCCGTGCCGCTCCACGCATTGTTGTTGCTGCTGGATGCGCGGCCGTGCTCACCATAATGAGATTGTCTGTCGTGCACTCTACCGGACCCTACAATGCGTGGGCACTGCTGGTGTGAGTGTCCCTGTGCTTGTCAATCACCCCGTGCCGTGTGAGTGTGTGAGCGTGCATGCTCACACGCGTATTGTTGTCTGTGAGTGAGTGAGTGAGAGCCCCTTTCATGAACTGCTTTGTGCTCCGTGTTTCGTGGCTTCGAACGCGTCGCGTGCATTGCGGCGCGCCTGCGTGCCGGAGCGATGCGCATCGTGTTGTCAATGTGCCACGATCGCCGTGTGTGTGTCGGTGCCCATGTGGGGCACTGTGTGTCCCTGGGTGAGACTGTGCGTGGTGAGGCCACACGGGGTATCTTTGTCTTTAGTGAGGGGGGGGTGCGCTATGAAACCCATTGACCCGGGTTCGATTCCCGCTCACGGCCAACACCAGTGACGATTATCTGAACCGGTCCTGGGCCTCCCTTAGAGCGCCACTGGGGAGACAAAGGCGGCCGGGCGTGGTGCTAGCCACCCCTAACCCCCTAGTGTGCAGCGTCGGCCTTCATAAGTGCTCGCGAACAGCACTTGACCCAAGAGCCTGATAAGCCTATACGGGGGATCTTTGTCTTGCCGTGTGTGCTCTTTGTGTTCTTTGTGTTGCGCCGTCTGTGCATGTGCCGCTGTGTGGGTTGTTGTGAGTGCGGAGTGCGACGTGGAGTTGTCTTTGTGCATCTTCGCGACGCGTGCGGTGTGTGTCAAGTGGGGCTGCGTTTTGGTGTCATCTGTGTCCGAGCAAAGTGTGCGGTGTGCGCTTGCTGCCATTGCGTCGTGGGTACCGCGGTGTGGGTTAGGGTGGCGTGTGTTCGTGCACCGCGTGTGGGTGTGCGAGTGTGTTTGCGTGTGCGTGCCATTGTGTCAGTGCGAGTGTGTGTGTGTGTGTGTTCGTGATGTGATTGTGCGTGTGCGTGTGCTCGTGATGTGATTGTGTGTCAGCGTGATCGCGCGCGCGTGTGCGCGTGTGTCAGCGTGACGGTCATTAGTAGGATAAGTGTGCTGGTCCGTGCGATATACGGACACGTGTGTGTGTGTGAGGATGATTGTGAGTGCGTTAATGACGCGGGGCTCGTGTATAGTGGGCGCGTGCGTGTGTGTGGTGGTGGTGTCTGTGTGTGTGTGTGGTGTGTGTGTGTGGTGTCTGTGTTTGGTGTGTGTGAGTGGTGTCTGTGTGGTGGTATGTGTGGTGTCTGTGTGTGTGTGGTGTGTCTGTGTGGTGGTGTGTGTATGTGGTAGTGTCTGTGTGTGTGTGTGTGGTGTCTCTGTCTGTGTGTGTGTGGTGTGTGTGTGTGTGTGGTGTCTGTGTGTGTGTGGTAGTGTCTCTGTGTGTGTGGTGGTGTCTGTGTGTGTGGTGTGTGTGTCTCTGTGTGTGGGTATGTGTGTGGTGGTGTGTGTGTGTCTGTGTGTGGTGTGTGTGTGGTGTGTGTGTCTGTGTGTGGTGTGTGTGTGGTGTTTGTGTGGTGTCTGTGTGTGTGTGTGGTGTCTCTGTGTGTCTGTGTGGTGTATGTGTGTGTGTCTCTGTGTGTGTGTCTGTGTGTGTGTCTGTGTGTGTGGTGTGTGTGTGGTGTCTCTGTGTGTGTGGTGTGTGTGTCTGTGTGTGTGCCTGTGTGTGTGTGTGGGGAGCGGTAGTGTAGCGGTTAGCGCGCTGAGCTATGAACCTGGCGACCCGGGTTCGATTCCCGCTCACGGCTAACACCAGTGACGATTATCTGAACCGGTCCTGGGCCTCCCCTAGGTCGACTCAGCCTTAAATGAGTACCTGGTGCGGTGTGTAAACATCGCCACTAGGGAGACAAAGGCGGTCGGGCGTGGTGCTGGCCACCCACCCCCTCGTGTACCGTTCCGGCCTTCATAGGTGCTCGCTAACAGCACTTGCCCCTACAGTCTGTTCAGGCTATACGGGGGATCTTTGTCTTTGTTTTTTGTCTGTGTGTGTGTGTCTGTGTGTGTGTGGCTGGTGTCTGATGGTCGTGGAGGTTGCGAGAGCTGCGCCACGCGCGCGCCCTCGTGGCCGCGACTGCGTCGCGTTGTTTGCGTTTTGTTGTCTTCTGCCTCCTGCCGCCGTGACTTATCGATTTTATTTAAATCGTTGTTTTGAGGTCGCGACAGACGCTGAATTTCCCCACCCCCCCCCCCCCCCCCTCTGTAATCGGTGTTTCCCGCTGCATTGTGCGACCCGTCCCGCCGTCGCAGTGACAACTTTGTGATGAGCACGCATCGTGGCTAATGTCGTGGACTGTTCTCTCACGTGGGGGGGGGGGGGGGCTCGTGCTGAGCGATGGCCACGTGGTGGGGGAGCTGCCCAGTGTCCCCACCCTTGGGCCCCTTATGACCCCCCCACCCCAGACCAGCGTGCGCGTGTGTGTGTGATTGTGTGTGTGATTGTGTGTGTGTGATTGTGTGTGTGAGTGTGTCTGTGTGAGTGTGTGTGATTGTGTGTGTGTGTGATTGTGTGTGTGAGTGTGTCTGTGTGAGTGTGTGTGATTGTGTGTGTGAGTGTGTGACTGTGTGTGTTATTGTGTGTGTGTCAGTGATTGTGTGTGTGTGTGATTGTGTGATTGAGTGTGTGTGTGATTGTGTGTGTGTGATTGTGTGTGTGACTGTCTATTACACCTGTGTGTGAGTGTGTGTGTGATTGTGTTATTGTGTGTGTGAGAGATTGTGTGTGTGTGTGATTGTGTGATTGAGTGTGTGTGAGATTGTGTGTGTGTGAATGTCTATTACACCTGTGTGTGTGTGTGCAGGTACAGCAACGCGCGTTGCGTGTCTGCAGGTATTAATGTGCGTAGTGATTGCGTGCTTGTACGTGGTGGGGTGCCGTGAGTGAACCGCGTTGGTAAACGCGCAGATGCAGAAATGTGGGCTCGTGTGTTCTGTGCGCATATTACGTGCGGTGCACCAAAGCGTGACACTTCAAATGCACCGCGCGTACCCGGTGTGTGACGATACAACAACGTGTCCTTTCACACACACACACACAGCTTGTAGTTAGCACACAAAGAAACCCGGAGAGAGAGAGCGAACTCCAGTGCGTTGTGGCGTAGCGAGCGAGTTCATCTCTGATGAGCACTCGGCGCACGGCGAATTCATCGACGAAATGGCTCACGAAGACAAACTTTCAAACTTCGAGTCTGGGCGCCCCCCCACCCACCGTCCCCTCCCGTGATTGGCTCCTTGCTGATTGGCTCTGTGACGTCACGAGGCATATGCTAATTGCCGCCACTGTACATCGCCTCCCTGATTGAGATCAAAGCCGCGCGGCTCGCAGCTCCTCGCCGGGGCTGACGAGGAGCGGCCGCCCGACCGGGGCCACGCGCCTCGAGACGGCGACGTTTCGCAACAAGCAGCAGCAGCAGCAGCTGTGTGTTGTCTGCCCGCGGGGGGTGCTCGCGCGATGAGCCAAGGCAGAGCCCTAAATGCGTCCTTGCCGACCCACGTGACCTCGCACGATTTAGCACGCGTCTATGAGGTTGTTGTTGTTTTGGGATTTTTTTTTGGGGTGGTGGTGGGGGAGCGGTTCTGTGAAGATTTTTTTTATTTTTACGACGTCGGCGCCTCGGCCGCACGCCGCGGCGAATCGCAACCGAGCGCACGCGGCTCCGCCTGCACCGTTAACGGATACAGCAGTGGAGTGGGCAGCTTAAAAGCAGTCACCACAATAGCCCCCCCCCCCCGTCTTGCTTAGAGGTCAGCCTGCACTGGAAGTGAAGGTTCGACTCCCGGGTTACCGCCGGGTGAATTTGTGTGCGCGCGATTTAAATTTATGTTCGCTTTCAAAGCGAAGCCGTTCCGTCGGCTCTAAACATTTAAGGGCTCTCTCTCTCTCTCCTCCTCTGACATCGATCGAAGGCCCGCAGTGGCATCGTTCGCGGCGGTGGCCGCGGCACTCGTTCGCGTGCCGATCTCACAGCCCCCAATGAATCCCCAACGATAGCGCAGAACGTCTCTTCTCAGCTCCCCCGTAGCGTGTGCTCGCCGATGGAGGCGATTGCTCTTGGCGCATGGACCACCCCCGCCACCACTACTACTACCACCAACCCTCCTCTCGCGGAATAAGGAACTCCAATCAATGCGCGTGCACACCGCGCGTGCGGGGATGTGTGTTGTGCGTGCGGGGATGTGTGTTTGTGCGTGCGTGTGCGCGCGGGTGTACACACACACACACGCGCGCGTGCGCGAGATGCAGCAGCAACACCCCAGGGTAGCGAGACCGCGCTCGTCCTCGGCGAGGCAGCGCCCGGCCGCTGTCACGCGTGCATATGCACACGTGTGTCTACACACGTGTGCGTCTACACACGTGTGCGTCTACACGCGTGCATATGCACGTGTAGGGAGAGAGTCCCGAATGCCACGCTGCGCTCGCACACGCGCGCGGGGTTTGCCGTGCGGCCGAATCCTTTGTTCCGTTCGCGCAGTCATCAAAAGATTGATCTCCTCCTTACATCTGGGGGTCAAACAAAGCGCCTCGACGCCGCGGAGG